AAGTGTGGGGCGGAAGTAATGACAAAGAAAGTAACCAAAAGGAAATGGTGTGTTGCTTATAGGTAATACCAAGTTCAGTGACAAAGGATTTCTTACAAGGCATTGAGTGCAGAAGGAACTTGCATAGAAAATTTCAAACTCGAAAAGAACAGTGAATCATGAATTCTATATTTAACAAAACTCTCTTTTAATGATAAATGGGCAATACAGTCTTTCTCAGACAAGGAAATCTGAAAGAAATTGTCACTAAAATGTTTCCTCTTAAAGATTGGTTTAAGGAAGTTCTTTAAACAGAGTGACAATGAAAGAAGACTCTTAAGGCCATGGGAAGAAAGAAAAACAAGGGGAAAAGCAAAAATATAAGCAAGACCATGAGTTTTCTAAATTGTATTAATCATTAAAATAAAAATTATAAAACCATTGATCCTTGTGACAATGATATGGTAAAGTGGGGAAGGAATAGAAGTGTGTTTTCTATACTTAACTTATACTTCACTTCAAAGTGTAAAAATGTTGACACCAACAGGACGTGAGGTAAGTCATGCACAGAACAATCACTGTGAAAATGACACAAAACAATATATCCCCAAAATACTCAGTCAATATAAAGCAAGATAGATTTTTTCTCTTTTTCTTTTCTTTGCTTTCTTTTTCTTTACTCAAATCTCAAACTCACAACCCTCCTGCCCCTGGTTCCTGAGTGCTGGAATTATAGGTGTGTACCAGCATGATTTGCTCAATATGAAATCTTAAAAACAATAGTCAAGTAACTCATAGGAAGTCAAGAAAAGAGAAAGAGAAATAGACAGAAAGCAAACAATAGAGTTGAGCCCTAATATATCAAAAATTGCTTAAATATAAATGATGTAAATGCATCAATTAAAAGACAGATATTGGCAGAGTGGATTTAAACAGCAAGACCCAACAGTAAGTTGTTCAATATGTTGTTTACAATAAACTCATTTCAAATTCAATGATATATGAAGATTGAAAGTATCAGGATGGGAAAAAAATATCATGTAAACATAATTTACATGCCAGGAGTGGCTATGGTAGTACAGTACCAGGTAAGTAGACTTCACAGAAAATACACAGACAAGACAAAGGGGAAAAAAGGCACATTGCATAATGAAAAAATAATCACCTCTTTCCCGGCATACCCCAAGACACAGTGGCCCTAAGTATATATACTAACCAAAACCACAGAGCCTCAAATACACAAAATAAAAACCGACAGAATTGAGAGAAGAAATAGACAAATTCACAATTAGAGATGGAGACTTCAACACCCTCGTATAAACAAGTCATAAGACTGTTAAGACTGACAGAAAACTGGTTTGGATATAGAAGATCTGAACCACACAATCAGCAGGATCTAATTGACATGTATAGAAATTGATAATAGCAACTTAATAATAGCAATGCATGCATTTCTTCTCAGGCACTCATGGGAAAGTTACCAAAATGCATCAAATCCAGTGCTTAACAAATTTGAAAGAATTAGAATCATAGTATATGTTCTATAATTCTAATGGAATCAAACTAGAAATCAAAGATGAGAGAGAGAGAAAAGAAATTAAACAATACAGTTCCCACTACTAAATAATATTTGGGTCAAAGAGGAGTTCTCAAAGGAAATTTTAAAAATGCACAGAACTGAGTTAAAATGAAAGTGTGGCAAATGAAAATATTTAAAATGTAGATAAAGTAGTGTTGAAGGTTAAAATTTTACATGCATACTCTTCAGTGCTTATACAGAATAATAAAAGCAAAATAAGCCTGAAACAAAAATAAGCAAAAAGAAGGAACCAAGAGCAGAAATTGATGGAATTAAAACAGGAAAACAGAGAAAAACCAGTTCTTTAAAAATTAAAAAAAGAATCAATGAAATTGATAAAAAAAGAAATATAGATAAGAAAGAGTATTCAAATCATAAGAATCAGCTATAAAACAAAAATCACTTCAGGTTCTACAGCCATTAAAAGGGTTAATATGGCAATATGATAAGCAAAATTATGCTCAAATTGACAAAACTCAGCAAGAATATTGAAGATCTGATTGACAGAACCAACCAACACGACGAATGACATATGTAGAACATGCCACCCAACTACAGCAGAGCAGGTGGCCGTGAGGACTCTCTTTATTGATAAGGAAATATTTTAGGTCCAATACTTAGACTCATTCTTAGGAGTAGAAAAGATGAAAGACCACTGCAAGTAGACTTTCTTTCTCAACATTAATAATGAATATGTAGAAACTGAATTTAAAATACAACGCTGTTTATAATCATTCCATTTGTCAACTTTGTTACTTCCTGAGTTATCAGAGTCGCGACCTTTCAGAAAGTCATTGCCAATGCCTACATGTTGAAGTGTTTCCCTCTAGCAGTTTCAGTTTTAGGTCTTACTTTAAGGTCTTTAATCCATTTTGAGTTGATTTCCATACAAAGTGAGAAATAGATATCCAATTTCAGTTTTCTACTGTGGATATTCAGTTTTCCCATCACCTCTTATTAAAGAGTGTGTCTTTACACTAATGTTCTGACACCTTTGTTGAAATCAGATGGTTGTAGCTGTGTGGCTATATTGCTGGTCCTCTATTCTATCCCATTGGTCTAAGAAAGTGAAATGCTTAGGTATATGCCCACACCCTGTACATGGAAAATTATTCAATAGCAAAAACAATTTAATTAGAAACTGGGTAAATATATGGAGAGCCATATTGCTGAAAAAATAGATGTCAACTAAACATAAGAAAGGATGTACAATATTACTAGTCATCATGGAAACACAAATTAAAACAACAGTGAGATATCACTTACATGCCTATTAGAATGGCTGAAATTTTCTAAAAATGTAACAATAAAATGCTAGTGAGGATTTGGAGAATTTGGATTACTCATAAGGTGCTGGTGGAAATGCAAAATGGTCCAATGGGGAAACTAGGTAAAGTACACATAGACATCTCCATGTTACGACTTCTAACTGCATGTGAATCTACTATTATTATATAATTTTAAAATAAAAATATACTCATACATATAACAATGTTTATTTGCAACTAGGAGCATAAATTTTGAATCAAGTCTAGGCTTGTTCCCCTTCCCCATTAGCCAATTACAGCTATTTTATCAAATTGAACAGCTGTTCATGAAACTTGATTTCTCTTTATTTTAGGTACACAATAAGACTAGATTTTCCAGTCTTTGCTGCACTTGAATGTGGTTGTATGACTAAATTTTGACTAGTGTGATGGAGATAATAGATGTATTAATCAATGGTAAGGCTTGGCCCATACATCAAATCATTCAAACTAGCATACTCTATTTTCCTTCTCCAATGGCTTGCTGCACAAGAGTAAAGATTTGGAAGATACGTTTGGAAGGGGGGAGCAGCTGTGACTCCTAATCACCATTGGAAAAAAATTGATGGGAATCTAATTTTGGAATTCACATAAATGAAAAGTAAACTATTTCACTAAACCACAGAAATTAGGGAAAGCCAGGAGCTCTTAACTCATACAGTCATTCTTGGCATCTGTTCAGAAATCAATTTCAACCAACTTTTTGGGAACATTCTTCTGCCTGTTTCATTTGTATCTGTGGATCCACTGGTCATCTATGTACTTGGTCATGTATGTATTTGATAAGGCAATATTAACAATGGCCTCTGACTTTGATAGAATTCCCTTTTTTACTCTGAACCCAGTATTTTAAAAAACAACTTACAACCTTTTCCTTTGTTCCAAAGAATTTAAAGTAGCTGGCAAAAAAATGCATGCAATATACCAAAATCAAATAACTTAGAAAGAAAGAAGAGAAAAAATCAGGCATCAGTATTAAACAGAAACAGGAAATTGAAATATTCCCAAGGGTGAGATAAACACATAAATATATTCCAGAAAGATCTATATGTTTATAGACTTCACTTTTATTCCTAGCAACCTACATGATTGTGAAATATGATGCATTATGAGATTTATTTCATGCTTTTTATTATCAAGATTTATATGTATGCCTTTTAGCAATTGAGGTAAAAAGCATGCAAGCTGAAAGCTGTTCATAGAAAATATTACTAATCCTGATACTGATAGCAGAGAGGCTTTCGTCCTATGTGTTCTCACAATGACAGAAAATCAGCAAATAAACATCTTCAGCAACCTTACAACAAACACTGCCACAAAGCACAGACCTGTAACCTTCAAAACTGAAACATCCAAAGAAAGGGGGTCCTAAGCATAAGCAGACCTCCATTTTTTTTCTTAGTTTTCATGTACTTTTCTCAGAAATCCTCAATAGCCACTAAAATATTTTTTTGAAGTTGCTATCACTTAATCTATTGAGTAAAAGATAAGAGAGAAATCTAGGTTAGTTTTTTCTTTGGTATCTATGCAGTTATGGGTAAATTGTTACTTATTACCACTTTGAGGACTATCCTAAAAATTCTGAAAAATTTCAGAACATAAAGTAGACACAAAAACAATTGTTCATTTGAGAATATATATGCAAATGCTCTCTAGGTTTAGAGCCAGAACGCTGTAAATAAAGATAGAGCAGAAATTTAAATTTAACGTCTGAGCCAACTTTAGCTATGGAATACTTAAGGAAGATTTCTTGAAACTAGGTGGTTGCTACCAGTGGAAATCTAAGTACAACTTTGTCAGCAAATCTGCAAATAAAATTTAACATGTTTACTAAATTTCATACCATAAAAATTCTGACATTTTGGTTTACAAGGCATAAAATTTGAGATGCACTGCAATTTCCAGTAAAATGTACAATTTTTTTCCCTTTCATATGCAACTCTTCAATCTATTTCTGACATCTTCATGATTTAAATTTTTGTGAGCCAAGATATTTTTCATGCCCACAAGGGGGACCCTTTGTACCATGTGCTCTGAGTTTACACGGCACAGGTCTTGCTGTGAAGGCACCCTTTGGTTAAATCCAAGGTCTGCCATAAAATGTAGAAAGTCATTTCCCATCTCCTTGACCTCACCTGTGAATCCAGGCTGACAGATACAAACATAACCTGAGGCTTCCTGGTAACTGAACGAAGAAGGCAGACCAGCAATGAGTCCATATTGTTTATATGAGGACAACTCCACACACTGCCCCTCAGACTCACAGGGGTTGCTACTGCATTCATTTATGTCCGTCTCACACTGGGCACCTGTGTATCCTGCACGATAAAAGTTCAGAGAAGCTGTTGAGTCAAAGCTCTTACATTGTACAGCATATGCCTGAAAGGAGATTGACCACTGTGCTGGCACCAATTAGTAAGTCACCCACCCTCCAAGAGGCAGCAAGGGGAAGCTGGCAAGCAAGGGGGAGATAAATACTAGTAGCAATGGAATCACTTGTATAATTATGATCAATATTTTTAGGAAAGATTTGATTAATAAAGCTTGAAATAAAATGGGATTTAAGAATAAATTTGATTTAACGTGAACATTTTCACCTGAATATTTAAGAAATCAGTTACCATTTACTTCAATGTAGCAAATATTCTGACCATTTGAATTTTTATCAGGAAGTAGTTTTTAAGAGGAGAGCTGAAAAGTTAGCAGTAAACACAAAGCCAACTCAAAATTCTCTTAAAACTCAAAGAGAAAAAAGTAAGCCATTTCATATTTGCATCAATCAAGCTGGATCACTTTATTGGAGCCAAGAATTTAAAGATGAATGATTTTCCATTTTATAAAATTTAAAATATTAGCTATAAAGTTCTTTGCTTTTACATACATATGTACCTTTCAAAATGTATATAATTATATTATGGGGGTGTGCATCATATAACTGGAATAGAATATTCTATTTATCCCTTGCACACTCTATGTTAGCAAAAGAGATAGAACTCATAATTTTAAATTACTGTCAACATATAGATGTGCTATGGTTTAACCATTCTTTTATTGGCTTTATATATAATTTACTATTACAATGTTGCAATGAATATCATATACATCAGCTTATTAAAGTGTTTGAGCAAAACCTTAGGGTTTATGCCTAGAAATGTAACTTGTATATATATTTATAAACATATATGTTTATTTATATATATTTATATGATATATATTTCTGCACTGTATATACTTATATATATTTATTTACACATACATAATATATATTTATTTACACATATATAATATATATTTATATATACATATATATATTTATTTATATATTAGTAGAGACTGGTTAATGCTTCCAAATTTAAATGTCATCAACAAGTGACAAATGTGTATGTGGTGCCCAAACTTTGCTACCAAACATTTGCTGTCACCAAATATGAAAATTTTCTGCAAGTTGGTTGGATAAAATATAATATCTTTTTTTAGCTTATATTTTCCATTTTACTATTGAGTTTAATATGTTTGATCCCAAAATGTTTCATATTGCTTTTCTGTGTTTTCTTTAGGATTTTTTTCTTCTTGATTTATGAGTATTTATTACTTGTCTCAAAATATAAATTTAGTGGAATGCTAGTGGAAAATAAAATAAGATCAGCTATTTTGTAAGATGGAAAGACAGATATATGAAGTTCTTAAAGAACACAGTTAGACTTATAATACACGTGACTTCACAATCACCTAAGGGCCTCTGTAATGTCACTTAAGTCAGCTGAGAAATATGTTTTTAAAACAAAATTTACAATTCAAAGTTATAAAACTTGTAAATCAAATTCCCAGTACTCTTTTTTACTTTAAAGTAATACAATGACTTCCTATTTTCTCAAAGGATAAAACACAAAATTCTTAATATGACCTGAGAACTCCCCATTAATATGGCCCTGTCCATCTAACATTCCTACCTTACCCCATCCCCTCCCTTCCTTTCTGAGAATGTTTTCTACCCCTGGCTTCCATAACTCTGTTCTCTCCCTTAGAAAACTCTCCTTGAAGCCTTTGCTTGGCCAACTTTTACTCAGCTTTCAGACTTTATTTTGTATTATTTTCTCGGAATAACTTTCCTTCATGGACACATCTAAATAAAATGCCCAAATTTTCCATCATACCATCCACTCCTGTTTGTTCAGTGCTCTTTTAATAATTTTTAATTATGTGTTTATTTGCATGTGTGATGGCCTCCCTCAACAGACTCTAAGTTCCACAAAACAGAGACTGTGCATTTGATGCATCACTCCAGTACTGACTGGGCACACAGAAGTAGCTGATCTTCATTACTGAATGAGAATAAAATAGTATTAATTAATGTTTGAAAATAGCAATGAGTCAGGTTACAATTCTGGTTCAGCATGCAAACTAAGCAAATAATGAGACGATAATGTGGTTGCTCATTTTGTAACTTTAATAACAACCTGAGTGGGGTTGTATGTCAGTTACTACAGCATAAATTCTATTGCTCAATAGGGTAATATATTTGTTACATAAGATCCTTGGGACACTTCTCAACCATCCAAAGAAGAAATTTAGAATCGAAAAAAGAAACTAAAAGAACATGTGAGATCAAGGTCTCACAATTCTTTACGGTGGCCCCCCCAAAGAATCCCCAGAGTCTCTTACATTGGAATGTCTACTTTTATTTCATAGAGATATACACTAAATAATATTTATAAACAGTACTTTTGTGCTACACTGGAGTTATTGAAGAAAGCTTGGACTATTTCCAATTTTCTTCTCATTCTAAGACTCAAGGCTCATATTTAGGCCAGGTTAGGAAGGAATTTAGAGCCATCATAAATCCTTTTTACTTTTCCAGCTCACGCATTATCTCATTCCAGTCGTGAACATTAGGGAGATTCTGATTTATGGTTTTGCCAGTCCTGTCCCCACCACTGAGGTCCCATGGGGATTCTATTTGCTGTTCTCTTTAACCACAGATATAAATAGACTCCTTCAGTCAAGGCTATAGTCAACAGTTTAACAAGTTTTTCTATACAATTCTGTGCAAAGAAACTACATGATACTGAATCAAGTCCCCAGGGTTCTTGTGATTGTTTGTTTTCCAAACATCCAACCACACTTGGGCATTAGGAAATCTTCTAAGATAAGCATTTAAGGTGTCTGATAATTCCTATAACTAATGACTTCTGAAATGAAGACTACTGACAAGGAAGAAGACTCTTGCCACTGAGTTCTGCAGCAGTGGTTTCATAATCCAAAGGGATGGTCTTCTCTTCTTAGTTGTGAAGTAGCTTATAGTGTTAGATATTCTTATGTACATCAGTGAGAACAGTATACAAAGATATTCTGAATTTTCTGTGTAGGCAAAGCCATCAACAGTTCAGTAACCTAGGACAGAAACCCAGGGGCAGAGCTGTCTTAGATTTGTCCCCTGTCATTCCACCTCCTCCACAACTCTGGACTATCCAACCCCTTATCTATGTCTACCACCATTGTCTCAGTTCTGTTCTTTTAAACTCCTGCAGAATCCTCTCACTAGATTCCCTGCCTTCAGTTTTGTCACTCACAAACTGCCAGAGCTCTCTTCAGATTAACAGGTCAGATAATGCAATGTTCCTACCCCATAATTTGCAGAGTAGACAAGTAATAGCTTTGTGGTCTGGCTGAGGTCTCAATTGCTAACCCCATCTCTCTACCGTTAGCCCTACATAGTCCAACAGCTTCATTTTTTTCTTGAGACAGGGTCTTACTATGTAGCTCAAGCTGACCCAAAACTCACCATCCTCCTGCCTCAGCCTCTTGAGGGCTGAGATTATAGGCATGCACCACCTTGCCTGGCAGTCCAACAGTTTTGAACAATCACTCAAAGTTCCACAATAGGACAGGTTATTTTCTATGTGTTCCTGCCACTCTTTCTTGCTTCTTTCCTTCCTCTTCTTCCTTTCTTCTTTCTTTAAATAAGTAATGGGTTACTTGGCACTAGCTATAGGGCCTAGAGTGGTTAATTCCTAATTTTACTATCTAGTTAGCATTTATTGAGTACCTTCTACGTTTTAGGCTGAGCTAGGAGGTTTATATACATTTCCGGATTTCTTTCCAAAATAACTCCATTAGGTGGATATTATTGTTGACATCTCTGTTTTATAAGTGAGGAAAGAGCTCAGAGTAGCTAATTAATTTGTTCAAAGTTATACAACTAATATATGTTGCTGGTATATGCTCAGACATATTTGTATACTGTCTACCTATAAGAATTAAGTTCCTGGGAATATATATATGATTCATATATATATTCAAGTGACTTGAAGGATTGAATCCATGAATGAATGAAAGATACAAAAGTTGTTTGTGTAAGGCTGACATTCTATCTGCTAGGCTGCACTATTTTCCTCCTATAGAACAGACGCCATCTCTCAGACCTGATTGCTACCCTGGGGTGTAGGGTTGTACATTCCTGTTTTTACACTTTTGGTCTTTGGAACAATATTACAAGGAAAGTATTTTAGCCTCTTTTTGCAAATGAGAAACTCAAGGAATGACCCCACACACTCAAATTTACTCAGTTAGCAGGGGACTTGACCCTTCCCAAACCATCCACTTCACTCTTAGCCTCTGAACAGAGACCCTGCTTGAGTGCTGGGGTGATGGCAATAGTGTGGAACAACATCTTTTGAAAATTTTTCAGTAAGAGTTCCAAGATTCCTTTTACACTTTCAGGGCTTTTATTTTAGCCTACAAAATATTTTTAACCAAAGACATCAAATTCCCTTGTGCCACAAGATAGGATATCTTTCATCCAGAGGCTACTAATGATTAAATTGACTCCAGTCTCCATGTTTCCTGTCTGACTACAGAGTTATCCTTTTATTTAGACAATAAAATGAATGAGAATAGGAAAATAGTCAGTAAGCTTATACAATCAGACCTTGAATGATTGTAAGTTTATTATCCTTCCCAGTGGATTAAGAAAGAAGAGCGAGGACACACTGTACCTTACATTTCTTATAAGAACCCAGCACTGGTGGCTCACACCTGTAATCCTAGCTACTCAGGGGGCAGAGTTCAGGAGGATTGCAGTTTGAACCCAGCCCTGGCAAATAGTTTGTGAGACCCTATCTTGAAAAACCCTATCACAAAAAAAAAAAATGGGCTGGTGGAATGGCTCAAGGTGAAGGCCCTGAGTTCAAGCCCCAGTACTGCAAAAAACAAAACAAAACAAAATCAAAACAAAAGAGTTAGATAAAAGTATGTCAAACAAGTTGTTTGCTAAATTTAACATCAATATTTTTAGGCAATGGCAATGTAACTCAAGTGTTGCATGCTGTTTTCTATGGGTTCTTGCATCACCTCTACACTCAAGTTTAATTATTTTTTGTCTGTATATAACTTTTAGATATGATTTTATGTGCTTAGCATATTCTTATTGATTTTATAGCTGCCTGGAAGAATACTCCTATTTCTGGAAATTCCTTGTACATCTTCTATGAATACCAACATTCTATGTTGGCTAACTCCATGAATTATAACACAAGCTCCTAGAATTTTAACATTGTTTCATGGGTTTCTATGTATTCCTGGTGTTTAAAAGAACATCTTAGAAGAAAAAAGGATCATCGTCCAATGCATGTTTCTCCATGAAGACCATTCCTCTTCTGTTTCTAGAGATTTCTGATCATTGAGCAGTTTGGTCATCTACTTTAACCATGTGTAGTATGACAGCAAGTGTGTGTGAGCACTGAAGAATACAGTCATAACCACAAGGAAGAGGTGGTTTAAAATCTTTAACAACAAGAATCTTTAGTGTCATTTGCTATAAGTAACTTGTTTCCACCCTGTGCAAAAAAAAAAAATGGTGAAAGGTATTTTCTCACTCACCAGGCCAGCAATAACAAATGTAATTGTCAACACTGTCTTCACAAGTAGCATTATTGTGACAAGGTTTTGACCAACAATGAGGCATCAATGTCTCACAGTGTTGCCCTGTGAATCCATTCCCCATGCAGTTACAGCTGTATCTGCAGAGTAAATGAAACCTTTGTGTCAATTCTTGGTCATTGAAATCAAATATAATATACTGATCCTCTCTCTTCATTTGTCTACCAACCTGAATCCCAGGGTATAGTCTTAATACCTAACTCAAAAATCTCTACGGAATTATCCCACTAGAACTGAAAGCATTACTATTTCCATATTAAAGTTGTAGCATTATCTTTTTAAAAATTATTTTACAATTTCATGCAAAACTATTTCAAAGCTATGGTATACTTCAGTTTCTTCATGCATAAATTGAAAATAATAATACTTATGTCACAGGTGATTGTGATAATTAAATGCATATATAGAGAATAAACACAGAATGTCAAGTATCACAAGGAACAGAATAAATTATTATTAAATAGTTCTAAATGAAAATGTTAATATTTTTGAAGGCAGCAGAGAATGATTTGTCTGCTCCTTTATGAAAAATGAAACAATAAGTTATGGAAAAACCCTTATTAAATAAATTGTGAGTTATAATGTTCTCTAAGAATATCTTAATCTTTCTAATTATTCATTGAATGAGTGGGAATACTCAACAGTCCTAAAGCATAATCTAATGTGGAAAGCTGTTGACTTTATTAAGAGGGAGATTTTAATTTAAGTAAGATCTCTTCAAAGACTTAGTATTGTAAAAAAATGGATCTGCACAGTTAGCTTAAATAAAATTGGAGTCTTGAAAAGTCTATGAATTATAAAGCAGTTATAGTCTGTTGCAAACACACAGATATTGGGATTTTACCAAGGAAACTAAAATAGCAAATGTTATAAATGACATAATTTTACATGTATTGCTAGTTAGAAATTTCTACTCACTATTCCATCTGTTTAATGCAAAATACTTATTCAACATCTACTATATATAAACCATTACAGATAAAAGCCCTATATTGTAGAAGTTGACCTGGCTGGCGAGGTTCATGGAATTAGAAACTCCATCTGCAAAATTCCTTTGGGCTATAAGAACCTATTTCCATATTTTCAAATATGTTCATTTTTATTGTGGAAAAACAAAAGTAAAGTCACACTGGTTGATCTTTTCAAAACTGAGGTAAAAAGAGATATGCAACAATAGAGAAATTAATCATGGCACATCCAGAGAAGAGACAAAGGTGGCAAGGTTTCCACCTTGTTTCATTTGCATTTCCTTCAGAACTGAAAGCTGTATGTAATTTCAGTCTCCATGCATTCTGGAGATAGTCAAACACACATGGTAGAGTCTCCTTTTTCTCTAGTGATCTTGTACAGGGAATTTCCATTCTAGCCTGTTTCTGTTTTGGCCATCTATCTGTCTCAATGGACTCAGGTCACAGGAGTAGTATTTGGGTATAGCTAAATGTTGGATGCAAGACATGGAAAGTGACTAAAAGTTATGCATTATTTTTTACAAAAGAAACAAACACATTACTGTGCTTAAAATCCTATTGTCTTGACGAATATCTTTGAAGCACATGGGGCTTTTATTGCTGTCCTTTCTGAGTCTCATTCACTATAAAATTATACTTGGAATGCATTATGTCTTATTTTCTAAATAAAAGAACATCAGCTTCTACTCCTAATGCAAAGAATTGGTAGTGTGAACTTGTGGGAGTCATCAAGCTTCCATATTCTTTCTATTCCTTATTATAACATGGGAACATTTGTGCTCATCTTTCCTTCCACAGAACTGTTAAAAGACCAAACAAGATAATTTTAAATGCAATACTGTTAAAGTTGTCGTGCATTTGATTCATATTTAAAAAGTATTAGAAAGTTCTTTCCAAACTGAGTGAATTCAATTACCATTACATACATTCATCATATTCATCATAATAAGATACAATTTATTATTATTCTTTTTGCCTGAAAGGCAATGATAGAATCTGATTTGTGGCAGAATCATTTTGTTACTTCTCACTATCAGACTTTCCCAAAAGTATTCATCCAATTCCCCAAACCCCTGAAAATTCAAGATGTAAATAACTTAATATCATGGCCCTTCTAACACTGTGTACATAAAATTTCTAAAGGATTTATTTTACCACTTGATTTATGTGCTTGTTAGCATATAGATACAGCCTTATGTTCACATTTTTTAATAATTGCTAGCTTTTCTTTCACATCTTCCCTATGGTTTATTTCATGGAACTGAAAGCTGGTAGTTGTTCATAATATATGCAGTGCTAAACTACTATAAGTGACTTGGAAAATCCTCATTGAAGGCAGTTGTTCTTCAAAGAGTGCATGTTTTAGTAAAATCTGAATGCTTCAACTTTTTGTCATTTGAAGTGTAAAGTGATCTGCCGATTTTGAGCTGAGGATGTAAGATATTCAAATTCACTAACAAGGTATAAGAGTGCTTGGAGTCTCTAAGACAATTACTGAATTGTAGGGAAGACATACCTGTTTTCTCCATCTATGCATAGCCCTCCATGGAGACATGGCTGACTAGCACACTCATCAAAGTTGAGTTCACAGTAATCTCCTAGAAATCCTGGGGCACACTCACAGAAGTAAGCCCCCAGAGCATCCCGACAAGTTGCACCATTTAGACAGGGCTGGGACCAACATTCGTCAATTTCCAATTCACAGTTTATACCTTTGGGAAAGAAAAAGTCAGCAGAAAAAACAGAAAAGTTTTAGCAAAGTGAAAACATTTTAGCTATTTGGCAATGCTTTATTTACTGAAGTACCTATCAAATGTTGTGTTACCCAAAATAATTTTCCTCCTTAACTCTAATTGATGTTAACTTTGGCTTGCCTGTGAGAAGTTGCATAGAACAGAGCAGCTGTTACTTCCAGGGAATTATTGCATACAACAGCTTGTGGCTTTTTAGTCTGTGGAAACAAATAAGTCCTTTTTAGAACAAAGTTATTGTTAACTCTACTTTTATTGGAGGCCTAAAATGGACTGGTCAATTTTTTTTCATTATTTTTGAACACAGTTTAGTTAGGCAGCATATAGAATAATGGGTAAAAGCTCAGACTCCAAAGACGGATGACTTGGGTTGTCTTACCATAGCCAATGAGTAGCTGTGTGACCTTGGGCAACTGTCTTAACCTTTCCCTATTTCGGCATCCTCACTTGAAGAATGGGAACAATTAGGGTAACTATACCATGTGTAGGATTATTACCATAATTAAATGTGGTCTGAAAAGCTTATAATGTAACTGGCACATACTAAGTACTTGCCAGAGGAAAAAAAATCACTGTTCTAGCCACAAAAATCTATCACATGCATGTGATGTGCAATTATTTGTATAAATGTTCTTTTTTCACAGACATTTTTAGTTTCCACGTTTCTTTAGTGTTGTAAAAATACTACTTTAAATATAAAATCAGATCATGACTTAGCTTTAATGTAATTAGTGGCAAGATTGGAAGCAACTCCATTTTAAGGTATTATTAAATGAAAATAAAATCTATATTCCCTCTAAACATTGGAGATGATGATTATTTGCTAAGCAAAATAAGTTCATGATTTACAAAAGTTGTAAGCAGATCGAGATAATGAACTATCTTTTTTATTGCTCTCCAGGAGCTTTTTATAATTTTTTTTATTATCTGGAGATACACTGTAACATTTACAAAAGTGCTTACATTATATCTTAGTTAAATTCACCATCCCCCATCATTTTCCTTTATCCCCCTCACTTTATTTTTAGAATAGTTTCAGCAAGTCTCATTTTTCTATTTTCATGCATGAGTACATATTTCCACTCTATTTACCCACCTACACCCTTATTTATCTGCCCCTCTCCCACTGGCATCAGCCCCCAGACAGGACCTTGTTTTACCTTCCTGTCCTGACTCTGCAAACCTGGTATTTGATGCACAATAATCAAGTCTGCACACAGTATTTAAGAGATACAAAAGAAGGAATATCTATGCTTAACCATCTTTATTTTTTTACCTATAATGCAAGATAATAAATCATATATTGAAATGATATTGAGGGATTCTCAAATACCTCAGAAGTAATTAGTAGTTTGACTCTGTGTCCCTTTCTCCTGATAGAAAATGAAGTAATATATTTTAACATCATCTGCCATTAACAATTTTTGCTAGATTTTACAAATGCACAAGATAAAAAGGATGCCAGTATATTAAATTTGATTGCCATTTTTAGAGGAAAAAGAACTAAAATTAATTTATATAGTAAAAAGGGGAACTTGTCCAGAAGAAGCATTTGGAGCATTCCCCATTTGCTGTGACCTAAAGGACTCTCGGCTTCCATCAGCTGGTCTCACTGCTATTGACCTCTCTCTTTATATTACTCTCTGTACTGCTATAGAAATGTGACCTCTATGATCTTTATCTCAAACTAGCAAAAAATGCCATGTTTCTCTTATTATCTTTTATGTTTTTTCTTTTACAAAATCAGAGAACAGGAAGGCAGAAAAGGTTCTGCCCAGGGGTAAGGGGAGGAGGTTTGGCACCAATGGGAGGGGAAGGTGGTAAGAAAGGAGTAGGAGGATGAATACTGTGCAAATAATGTACACAAATGTATGTAAATACAAAAATGGTACCTACTGAAACTGTTCCGGGAATCAGGGAATGGGGCTGAAGGAGAGCAGCAGAGGGGGTGAATTCAAATATGATATATTTGATACATTGTAAGAACTTTATAAATGCTACCATGTACCCTCACACCAGCACAACATTAACAAAAAATAAGTAAAAAAACAAATTTAATTATGTTATTTTTTCTTAAAGTATTGAAATAGTTCTCCCCAACACCTCCAGAATAAAGCACAATTGTAATACAGAAGTGTCTAAAAGGGGTAAACTGCACTAGTGCCACCCAAAATGATGTGTTTAGGACTCCATTGTCTTTCATGCCTCTTGCTGTTCAAAGTTGTTCCCCTTATTTGGAAAGACCCTGTTCCTCACTCCCTCATTCCCCAGGCTAAATTCAGTTAGTTTTTAGTGATTGATGATTCTGGAGAATATACTTCACCGCTTGTGTCTCCTCTGTTCCACCATACTGTCAAAACTCCCTGTTACATAAGTGTGCATATCACATTGTACTGTAATTACTCACCCACATTATCTGACTTTGTTCTTACCATCAGTATCTGTGGCGTGTAGCACAAATGATCTTGAACAAAGGAAATGATCTATGAATTTTGATGACTGAATGAATGAATGATTTTATAGCTTTGGAATACTCTGTTTCTCCCTGAAGGTAAACTGGCACCAGACCCAAGCCTCTCCAGGCTTCTGTAAAGCTGGGTCCACTCAGTCAAAAGCCATGAAGTCACATTTATGGTTTTAACAAATATTTAAAACAAATCATATTTTCTCAATGATCATGTCCCAAACATCTGATAAGCACCTAGAGATCTGTCCTTTAATATGTTCCTGTTGGCAATTGGAGATAATACTGACATTCTGTGCCATAAGACAATGCACATTGTATGCTATCAGTACCGAGCAGGTCTTGTTCCTGATGCGGCACTCAACACTCATTATCATGGGCAGACAGCACATTACCCACACTGTGTGGTGTTGATAACCCGTTCTGAACATCTTTCTCACTATATTCAGAGCCCAGGCTCTGGGAGTAATTGTACTCCAGCTTTGAAAAGTTATCATCCTCAATTTCAGAACCCATCCAATACATTTGATATCTTCACAGACTTCTATTTTTCTTTTGAATAAGAATTATGTTTGCTATGTCTGGGTTCTTTGCATATATCAGTTCCAACAGTTATTGGTACAAGTCTGTGACACAAGTATCAGTTGACAGGGGAAATGTAGCATGCAGTTGCCATTACACCTGCACAAATGCATTAGTTCTGCTATATATCATAGTTATAGTCTTTTTAGCATGTTTGAACAATAAAGAGATAGGCTCAAAGAACACAATGCTTAGGAAGATGTCAAGAAAGAACCTGGCATTTAAAAAAAAATTGTATTAGGAACAACTTTGGCGTTTGAGTCAATAAGGTTTCTTCCCTGTGCATTTCCACACACTTTTTCTAAGGATGTCAAAAAGTAGCAAAATGCCTTTTCAAAATCAAAATCATACACTTAATCAGTGACTGATTAATCAGTCTAAGAAGGACCGTTGAATGTTTTCATTCATTCTCCCTCTCATCCAAAACACCTCTAAAATTAGGATGTGCTCTATAGTTCATAGTGTTTAGTCTTGTTATATTTTAGTTGTACCATTTGTGTCTTAATGACATGTGAATCCATGTAGTATCAATAATGTATTAAATCTGAACTAAGAGAATTGATTGTTTCTGTTATCAGATTTTATCATTAGTCTAATTAACTAATTTTATTACATTGCTAGTACAACTAACATAATCTCCAGTTTAGAGTTATAGATATGTACTTTAAAAACTTTAGGAAAACATCCAGTATACGCCAAGCTTAAGAAACCAATGTAATCCATTTCTGAGTTCCCAGGATGCTATGTTTGAAGAACATACTGCTTGTATGAATGTTTATATCTTTCTTAATTTTGTAACTCTTTTGGAAAGACTGTAGGAAAACTGCAAGATTTGTACTTTATGTTGAATGTATCAAAATTATATGCGTTAGACTTCTATAATTACAATGTTTTGGTCATAGCAAATTAGTTTCTTATGCTTCTCTTCATTAAGATAATTTCATTCATAAATACTTGGAAATGTTAAAACATTAACTTCTTAAATCCTTCAGCTTAGTTATGAGATGGGAGTTTCAGAAGGTGAATTCTTGTCTCGATGTGTTAGAGCATTCCAGTTTAAACTCATAAGTGAAATAGAGACATTATGATCTTTGGTTAATCTCTGCCTGATTCTGGCTCTGACAGTATTCAAAAAAGAAAGCAATTCAAGTATAAAAAAATGACACCTTTAAAAGAATATAGATAAACCTTGTTTAAGGGCTGAGCTATACCTCAGGGGTAGGACTGCTTGCCTAGAATGCTCAAGGCCCTTGGTTTTGTTCTCAGCAATGATCAAAAGGAACATTATTTAATTATTTAAACAGCATTGGTTTAGTAATAATATAGAAATCAATCAGCACTCTCACAGCGTAGTTTGTCAAAAAATTTTTACCAAATCATTTCATTCTCACTTTAAGCCTGAGAGTTGGTATGAAGCAATGGAGGCTCAGAACTATTGTTATTTATTGTAGCAAACCACTAGAGGCCTTCAAATTTGGGCCTGGTATCCCTGTCTTCTGCCTCCAAATTCCAGACATTCTGCTATGTTTGTCTGTCCTGTTACAGTACATTGTCATCTCATTCCCTTCACCTTCAGACCTGCACAGACCCTGCCATGGAAAGATAAGCAGCGTCAGCGTGTCAGAGAGAGAGCTGGTTTTCTAGCTCATAGATGGCACCTTCCTGCATGGGAAAGGGGCCAGCGGTCTCTGTGAAGTCTCTTTCATAAGGCCACCAATCCCAAGACCTAACTACTTCCCAAAGTCTCTTATCCTAATACCATCACCATGGGGAGGGGGGTAGCAGGAGTTCAACATGTGAATTTTGAGGGAACAAAGACATTGAGACCATAGAAATATCTGCAGTTCTTCTCCCTTGACAGTCAATGTTATTATTCACATTAATAATAGCAACAAATGTAGCCATGGGATAAAGT